TCTTTCCAAAACAATAAACTTTTAATGCTAAAGCAGTTATAACCAAAAGCTGTACAGAAATTTTTTTTGTTTGTATTTTTTTTGTTAGAAAACAATTTTTTCTCCCCCATAAATATTGTTCAGTTCCCGGCACTTTGTATCAATAATTAAATTACGAACGATAAATATGGCATCATGGATATGTATTTACAAAAAAAGTTATTACAAAAAGGCAACTGTTATACTAAACGTCACAATCTGGGTAGAATAAACACCACATCCTCATCCTGAAAAATACTGACCGACCCCATCAGACGAGAATACATTCACAAGTGTAATGCTTGGAGAGAGAGAAGGAGAAAGAGGACGAGAGGAGAGAGAGAGAGAGAGAGAGAGAGAGAGAAGCAGCAGGAGAGCTAGAGAGGAAAGTTCAAGACATAACAGGACTTTGGCACGGTTTAAGACTGTAAGTTTAAACAATCACCACTAAGGCGAAGGAGAATTTTCATCCTCATGTCAACATCCCACCGAAAGAAGGAAAAATAAAACAATCAAATTAAAAATAAAAAGTGAGGAACTGGAAGAAGAAGAACTGGGGCGGGAGGGGGAAATAAAAGAAATGATGGCGATTGCAAAAAAATGACAACAGAACAGAAAAAAAAAAAAGAAATCCAATCCTGAGAAAAGGACATGGCTAGTCCAGCGTCGGGGCTTGCAAAAAATAGTAATAATTATAATATAATAATAAAAGACCCCCCCTCCGGATCCTGGCAGTTAACTAGGTGTAGCCCTATGCGGTCGTCGGTGCGGAAACTCCACTTCTGCGGGAGCGAGCTGCAGTTGGCTTCGCTTGTCTTTTTCCCTTGTTCCCAACGCATTTGGTCCAGTCTCTGGCCAGGGCAGCAGCTGCCTTCACACATACCACTCGTTAAAATTGGGGGGCAGTCCAGGGTTGTGGCCAGGGTTACTCTGAAGGGCGGCCGGCGGTGTTTTAGTGGAGTCCTTACTGCCGGCAGAGCCCACCGCAGGGGGGGTTGAGGACTCGTACCCCGAACTGGCAGCAGGGGAAGAGTCCGACCCCTGGGATTCGTGCACCTAAAACCAACAGGCAGAGAGAGGAGGGAGG